AGTAGCAGTAGAAAGGCTGCAGAAAGAATCAGGAGCCCAAAGGAAGAGGCAAAGGAGGTGAGGGGGTGGGGGCAGAAAGAAGAGACGAAAGCAAACGACAGAACATTGCTAGAGAGCAGGAAATGAGGTGAAAGGAGACAAATTTAGAGAAGAAAATTTTTCGGTCGCTACCCGGATTCGAACCTGGTACCTTTTGAATGAGAGGCCAACACCTTAACCTCTAGGCCACGAGAGCCCCGTTCTGGTTCTAGTGCTTGTGGTGTTATGATCCGGAAGAAATATTAGCTGAAAAGTTCTGGTTCTATAGCTTATTCCCTTTCATCCGCCCGTGGTTAAAATAAGATAAAAATAAATTCGCTGTTAAATCTTTTCAAATCTCAGCATGCGGGTCTAAAAGTTGTATGACCAACAGAATCTAAAAGCCCATTCATAAACGTAACTGCAAACTAAGGTTCCGACACATTTTCTTTGTTTGATGTAAGCGTAAAGCAGGTTAAAAAAAAAAATAATAGGGAATTTACAGCATGCGCCTAAAAGATCTAAAAGTTGACATATTTTCTTAAACATCACACTTAAACATACGCCCAAGAAACACGGTCATTTCAAGATTGTATTAATACTTTTTTATTTTTGAAATAATATTTTTTTAAAAACGCTTCCATCTTTATTCTTTTGCTCATATTTACATATATTTTCAAAAGTGTAAAAATGTGAAAATTAATATTAAAACAACATAATATAAAACTGAATTTTTATTTTTAATTTTATTTTCTCACTTTTACACTTTTGAAAATATAATGTGTGAATGTTCCTTGATGTGAGTAAAAGAATAAATAAAAATGGAAGTGAATTTTTTAAATAAATTATTTCAAAAATATGAAATAAATTAAACGTACTTTGTGAACTTTGAGTTTGATACCAGGCATTGTATCATTCTTGTGAGTTCGTCAGTTTTATATGTTAATTTTAATTTTAATTTTCATATTTTTACACTTTTGAAAATGTGTATGAATGTTCCTTGATTTGAGTAAAAGAATAAAGATGGATGTGTACTTTGTTTCATTATATTATGTATTTCAAAAATATAAAATATTGACGCAATCTTCAGATTGCCGCGCAACTCTACTATCGTTAAAACGCGCAGCGCAATTTTAAGATGGCCACGCAATTGTACGAAATTTAAAACGCACTGCGCAATCTTAAGATTGCACAGAGTGTTAAATTGCACGGAACATATGCATCCAAAGAGTTGTTTTTTAATATAAAGCCCAAATACAACATTTTTTAATTACTCGATCAAGAACTTTTCAAAAAATGTTTTTGTTAGGTTGCTGGCCTGCAGTAAGGCCATGCAAAGTTTCGTTGGTATAGGATAAATAAATTAATAATAAGATAGAACTTTTTTTAATGCGGTCAGACGAAAGTAAAGAAGCTGCAGTGCCTATAGTGTGATCTTCGCCATTTCGCACAGAAAATGTGAGTTCAAGTTCAATTGGAGTCAGGAAATGTCTAAATCATGTATCATCAAGGATCTCCACTTGCTTGCTGGGATGCTACATCAAATCCGGAGTAGGTTCAGCCACCGCAAGCAGGGAATAGATTATATGGTCGCTTTTAAGCACAAGGGGGCTATCCTGAAAAATGCTGTTTTGGGAAAATCAAAGGTCAAGTTTTTAGCCCCTTGTTCAGTTTCTTTAAAAGACAAGGACGGATTTCTCAATACATGTAAACAAATATACTCACCAATGAAACCAAACGTTTCCGATAGGTAGGGCAATGCCCACTTTTGGTGTAGGTCAAGATTTCCGGAAACCCCCGAAATCCCTAAAAGCGACCAAATTACTCTGAGCAATCAGGCATTTAAAATTACTTTTCAGCATTCTCGCAACACAGTGGAATGCGACTTGGTCATATTTTACCATCCATCACAAGACGTCAAATACAGAGAAAACAGTAAGCTCATAGAGAATGAAGGAATGAAATATGGCTCAATCTTGTTTGGGAAGATATTTATTTGGCATCCTGTCTCTATTTACATGAAGCTTTGAAATATCATTTAATCAGTTGAAATTAAAATGAAATGAGGCAGAAGCCATTGAAGTTGGATCTTGCTTTCTCTGTCTGTCTGTCTCTCTGTCTCTGTCTGTCTGTCTGTCTGTCTGTCTCTCTCTCTCTCTCTCTCTCTCTCTCTCTCTCTCTCTCTCTCTCTCTCT